CTCCAGGTCGCTCTTTAGACTGTCCAGATACCATGCCGCCTGGGCCGAATACTTGCACTTTCTCCTGATGACGCGGCCGTACTTGTAGAAGAATATGGGGAATGGAAAGCATGCCAGAGCGATGAAACCCGGCACTGCGGAAGCCCAGTGCACACCTAGATTTTCATACATCTGGACGGTGAAGAGGGGGAAAACAGCGCCAAAAGCGGAACGAAGGACCGAGTTGGCTGCCATCACAGAAGCAGCATAGATTACATATGAGTCGATTCTGTACCACGATTAGCATATCTAGCTATAACTTTCTCTCTTTTCCCCGTAACGAGGCACCAAGGGAACACTCACAGATAGTTCATGCAAGACATGAAGATGAGCAGAAATCCCGCTCCAAAGGGTACTCCAGCGAGGATTGGGACGATCCAATGGACACTAGGAGATGTTGTGGCTGCGAACCATGCAAGACCAACAATGGCAATGACACCGCCTAAGATGACGGTCGGAAGACGAGTTTCTGGCGGTGCAAAGCCTCCTGTCTCTCTGTGGATACGGATGTAGCGCCTGTTGTCGTAGATGATGATGGCAACGCCGACGAATATTCCAACCAGCATGCCAATGAAAGCCAGACCGCCCACGCCTGCATTCCACCCGTGTCCTTCCTGGAAGACGATAGGGTAGGCGGCGAAGCAGAGATACAAGGTTCCGTAGATAACGGCGGTGTAGATCTGAGTAGTTCGAGGGTCAGTGGAAATCGAGCCTGCAGACAAGAAACGAAGAGACGTACGGTGAGGAGAAGTACTATAGGCTCCCTGAATAAGAGCGCCCATGGCAACACCAAGGACTTCCTGACCATTTTGTGGAAGGTGAGCGGGTTGTCAATGTCGATCTTGGTCATGTGTGTCTTCCCAGTGACCTTGGTGAGCAATTTCGCCCTCTGGCGCAGCAACACCGGAGCATAAGTCTCGGGCACAATAAGAAGGCCGAAGAAGGTGAGTGCACCCGAGTACAGGGTCAGCACACCAAAGAGCCAACGCCATGATGCTCCCAAATCGATGAAGCCTCCGATCATTGGACCAAGGGTGGGCCCCAGAAACGGGGCGGCAGAGTATATGGCGATGACTACGCCTCGCTGTTCGGCGTCAAACATGTCGGCAATTTGGCCTCCGGGTATGACGAATGCAGCTGAACCAATCGTACCGGCAAGAGCCCGGAAGACGATCAGACTCTGAATATTTTGTGCGGCGACGCATATTCCAGTCCAAATGGTGTAGAAGATCATGGAGAGCATGAGGATGTTGCGACGTCCCATCGCTTCAGAGAGGGGGCCGAAGACGAGCGGGCCGGTGCCAAATCCCAAGACGAAAAAAGTGAGACCTAGTAGGAATATTTCTTCGCTGCAGTGGAATTCCTCCATGATACTTTCGCTCGGACCCGTGTAGGCGGAGGAGGCCAGCGAGATACACAGAGTCATAAAAGCTAGCAAGGCACTCAAGATGGTTTTGCGCTTCATTGAGTAGGTTTTCGGATTGCAAGGGTCATCGTCAAGCCACTGGACGATATAAGGGTCGCTGGGGGTACCGCTTCCACGGTATTTGGCCTCGATGATTCGACTGAAATCCGTGACACATGGTCGCCAGGGTCTTCTTTTGAGTGTATACTGGGACCAGTCTGTGGGTTTTTCGATCGATACACGCTGAGGTGTGTGGTTTGGGCCATCCGAGTCGACGTCGATGGGCTTCTCCTCGAGTTGTTGCTGGCCTTTCTCAATCAGACTGAGCGGGTTATTTGTCGTTGTCTGTATTGTGTCCGAGTCGGGGGGCTGAGTTGGTTCCTGCGTGTCAGCCATCGTATCTCAGATCTGAAAGTCAGTGTTGCACGAGACAATGGAAGCGAGGGAAAAACATCGTGGCATGTCACGCTGCCGACAACCGATAGATATAGCAACTACACGTGGAATTTGAGCCGCCACGTATTGCACCGCGCCGGAGTTAGGAGCCCGCGGACTTTTGTCAAGACGGACCATCTTTTAATTATGAGGTAGAAAGTACTTCTCGGGAGCCGCATATCATAAATGCTTGTTGATGGCCCGTATGCGGGACTAGTGGTAGTTGAAGCTACGATGGACGTCGCAGGGATAAGAAGAAAGAGGGGCAGCGACGTTGTTGTTGGTCGGAGAAATTGGCCACAAAGTCGCTAAAGATGCCGATTCGGGACTTTCGGGTACAAATCACTCCCGAACACCGTATCGCCTCTTCCACTCTGATGCCCCGAACCATTTGACATTGCATACGGCCGGAGGCTGTAGGGACGACTAATCGTTAAAACTCTGGTTGAGGGTCGATGATTCATGTCACCCAGGATGATATGAGGCCACCCGCCGGACCCAGTGGATAACATCTCTTCGGTCGGAAGTCTTTGAATTTTTGACTACTTATCCGTTACTGCAACAGCGAGGCTGGGCACCAGTGTCGGCCATGCCAGACGAGAGAAAGATCCCGGCGTGCAAAGAATGCCGTGAGAAAAAGCTACGATGTGTGTTTGAGAAAGACGACTGCTGTCTCAGGTAAAACAAGCCCCCGATCTTTCGACGCCTGAGGTCGCCGTGATTGACTCGATATCCAACAGATGCACAAGGTTGGGAAAACAGTGTCAAATTCCCGAAGCCAAGCGCAGAGAACGCAAGGCCCGATGTGATTGGTAGTCCCAAGTTCAATCAAGCTCAAGTCTAACCACGGCGGTGCAGTACGCGGGCGAGTCGAACATCTCGAAAGCACGTATTCGGAAATACTGGCCTTGCTGAAACGGAATGGCGACAACGAGCCCTCTCCTCCCACCACCGCCAGCTCACAACGTCACCCTCCTTCGGTGACACAGACTCCATCGCGGAGGGCGAGCTTCCTGTCGGGGTCGGGAGGCCCTCAATCCATCCTCCCCGCCGTCATCGGCTCGGACATGCTGAGCCTGGACGAATGTGAAGCCTTGCTCAACACTTACCGAGAGATGTCTCGAGTCAACTACCCGTTTGTCCTACTTCATCAATCATGCCGTGCCGCATCTTTGATCGAGGAACGACCCATGTTGGCACAGGCTATATTCATAGTCACGTCCTGGAAGAACCCCGCGCGACAGGCCGCGCTTCGCTCCATCTTTCTCAGAGATCTTAGTGAAAAGTATTTCATGCGGTACGAGAGGTCTTTTGACCTCTTGCAGTCTCTAATTGTGTACTTTGGGTGGTACGTCGATGTTTATGATTTTCCTTTGCTTGGAGACACTCACAGGACCGTCTTGCTAGGTGTCATTTCTATACCCACAGTTTCCCATCGGGCGCCTACAGACTGGCCACGGTCCTAGTGACCATGGCCATTGAACTTGGCATAACCCAGCGGCCACTTACTGTCACTCAACACGAGGTTCTGTTGAACTCGGGCTCGATATACCCACAGACCAATGAAGGCACGCCTTCGAAATTCTGGAACTTTGATGCCCGAAGAGCCTTTATTGCGACGAACATCATTTCAACGTTGTAAGTCACATATCCAGGCTCCTCTTATCCCCCGCGTGAGAATTATAATTGACTGATTTGGTAGTTGTTGCTTTACATTCCGCAAACACAACCTCCTCCCACATTCTCAATACCTGGATGAATGTGCAGACTCTTTGGTCGCCGACCCTCAATACCCTTCCGATTCCTTGCTACGTGCCTGGATCAAGACCATGGCCATGGCAGAGGGCGTGGGGGCTGCATTTGACCATGGCTCACGAGAACGTGCGGCTGAGCTGAACGACGAAAAGACCCAGCTTTTAGTAACAGCCATGGCGAGACAAGTGGAAGAGTGGAAAGCGAGTCTCCCACCCAAGACTTCTGAGACAGGTCAGTCAGGCCACGTCCCCCTTTGTCTCTAATCATTCTCGTCGACCGGTCCTCATGTTTTCTCCGACTCCCTTGTCACAAGCTAACTTTTGCTCCCGGGGTATTTCAGCCCACATGTACCGCGCGTACTACTGCAGCCGCGCCTACATCCACGAAGTCGGGCTTTACGGCTTGAGCCTGGGCCAAATACCGTCCGTCTCCCGAATGTCTATTATATATGAATGCTACTCGGCGTCGATGAAACACATTTCCGACAACGTCGAACTCTCCCTCGAAGAAATGAGCCAATGGGGAGTGATGGACTGGCGCCAACTGAACCTGTCCGTCATGCTGTGCGCCAAGTCTTCCATCATCCTAGACTCGACTTGCTGCACGGTCGAGTCGTCCCAGCGAGCCTCGTGGTTGGGGAAATGTCTGGACACGCTGTGTCAGCGGATCAAGGAACTTTACTTGATGGCCGTCGGAGGGTCTTCGGGGCAGGCCCAGAAACAGGACCACTTTTTGAAACGTCTAGCTAATGAATGGTCTAATATCAAGACTTGTTATCAAAACTGTGTACAGAGGAACCTTCAAACTCAACAACAACAGCAGCAACAGCAGCAACAGCAGCAACAGCAACAGACTCAGATACCAACGACGACGGCCGCCGCTACCCAACAAACACAAGCGTCACAGGCACCATTACTATTGCCGTCGGCCGAGTTCCCTTTTGATTTTGACGCGTTCAACGACAGTTATTGGTTCGGGATCGGGGAGGGTGAAGTATCCGGTCTCACTACCAGTGGCGGTTGGCAAATGTGATGTACCCCGGTACGGGACTGTATGAAAAAAATCATGTGCATGTGATATGTACACCGTATGACAATGACCCATGAACTGATTACCTACCCGGGTAATTTTGGGTTTGAAAAACAATCAAAACCACACAGCAACAGAATAGATACCTAGGTACGTAGTAGTGTCAGCGTAGAGTACACACAGTACAAGCAAAAGTTGTGGTAAGCGCCGTCATCGATTCGTCTAGAGTTTTTCGGTGGGGCTCGAAAACGAAGCCAACATATTTTTGACACCTCCAATTCTTGCTCAAATTCGACCTTTAGAATTTGCCCCCCCAAATTTCTGGTTGGCGCTGGCAGGTTTTGTAGTGTAGTGGTGATCACTCCGGATTTTGACCTTTGTTCTTGACCAAGACAACACAACTTTCCGGCAACCCCGGTTCGAACCCGGGCAAGACCTCATTTCCATTTTTTTTTTCTTTTTTAGATTTGAAGAAACGGCTCTTGATAATGTGTAGTACGGTATACTCATTGGCTCACTCGCTGTGAGTCTGTGACTCACAGTCAATTCAATCAAATCATCTCGATCATATCTTCGTTGGACCCAGTTCTTTTTTGATAGAATTACCTAGGTCCTCCGTAGGTAAAACAACACGACGGACTCATCCAAAAAGACAAGAAAGGTTTTCTCCCATCAATCACCTAGATCCTTTTTCTTTCCTTTCCCTTTTCACTTCTCACATTGTACTTGTAGAGGGTACTTCACTTTATACACTATATAATATAACACGTCCCTTGTTTACCAAGGTCGGACCGAGCTACCTTTTCCCCCCTTTTGCAATGCAAAATGCATGCTGGGCTTCAGATAAAAAGGAGCATCACCCCTTGAAGGGTAACTCTGTACAACGAGGCCAAAAAAAAAACCTCCTTCCACTTCTCTCCGTTTTCTTACTTCCCGAGACTGATGAATCACTGCCGAGAACTTTTTCGAGTCAACCCTCTCAAGCAATGCTTGACAACTTTTGAGTCAACCCTTCCATGACTTTATTGCCTAGCATGAGATTATGCATTCATTATATGTCTGTACTTCTTCAATCATTGTCCTTCGTCATCTTCAACGTTGTTGGGCTTTCCAAGCTCGGTGTCATGACGCTGAAAAAACTTATCCAATCACTTTTTTGGTCTCGCCGTATCATGTAAAGCTGCTGTTGCCCGGGGGTTTATCTTGATTTTTTGATCTCGAAATACATAAACCTCATTTCACCTCCTGTTCAAGAAATTCACATTACCCGCTTGTGGCATGCTCAACAAACTATCCGCCCGTTGAAACACATCGCCCCTGAAGAACTGATCGCCATACGCACTGGCGGGTGTACTCGGAATCGCCATTTGCATATTCATGTTTGGCACTGTCGCTTGGGCAGCCGGACCGAGCGCCGCAGATAGCGGAGTGGCAGGTAGTGGTACCGAAACAGGACTTATGCCGTTGGACCCGTTAGGAAGAGCAAGACCATTGACGTTGATCATCTGTTTGGGCATAATGGCCGTGTTGGGGGTGTTTGCTGAACTTGGACCCAACCCTGGAATCGGAGGAACTGGTGCCAAGGGTGGTGGGAATGGACTTTGAACAGGATGTTGTCCCAATGACGAGGTGACCGTATTATACACCGAGGCATTTCCACTGATGCTTGTACCGTTCATGCCATTCGCGTGTGCATAGCCACTCCCGTTCATCGTCGGTGCAGATTGCTGGTTCGTCAACGTATTGAACACGCTCGGAGGTGGCATTGCTGCGGTCGCACTGTCGGTGAGATAACGCCACGGACTCGTTTCGATCAAGCGTCCAGCTTCTCGACTCGCTTTCTGCACCGGTCGGAGCATGATGATCAACTCTTGCGACAACAGCCGGAGAGATTTGGCTTCTCGCATATCCGTCAAAAGGTCAATAAAACTCATCAAGAAGTTCTTGCACAATGACCACAGCGACGGATCATTGCGGCCAGTTCCTGGAACGCTGGGTTCTTTGAGTCGCATATTGACCAGCCGGATCTGCAGCGCTTCACTGACATCAATGCACAGCTTGCATCTATACACCAATGTCGACCAGAGATCATGTACTGACTTGGGCTGTCGATTTTCCTCCGCTGCCTCGAGACATCGAATAAATTGTGCTTTGGCAATCGGGATGGTGTGCAAAGCAGCATCGTACGCTCTGCTTAGTGCCAGGAAAATTTGTTCAAACACAGCCTCCTCCTGGGCGTCTGTAAGGCCGGTGGCAGGATTGACCCGGGCAGGATACCCATTTGCCATAGGCAGATTGAAGGCTTCGCCCGAGCGGGGAGTACTCGCAACTGAGGAAGGCATGCTGTTCATCATCGCAGCTCGAGAACTTGACCTTGATCTGAATCCATTGCTATTTAAAGTGCCGCTGTTTGAAAATGTTGACGAAGTGCCTGTCAAACTTCCACCGTTGAGCGTAGTACCAGTCATGTGGATTGGTGTCGGGAGAGAACCCGAAGGTGCAGGTAACACAGGGTTTGGTGGATATGTTGGGACGTTTTCCGCGACCGGATGCTGGATGGCCGTGTCACTACGCAATCTCCCACCCTGTCTCGAAGGCATGTTTCTGTCTCGGGTAGGGGTGATTGCTCGAACTGGTTGGGATGGCGTAGTAAATTCTTCAGGGATCGTCTGAATTGGATGAGTATTTCCACTCGACAATTGCCTTCTATGCCCGAAACCTCGTGTCACGTTGACATCCGCACCGAAACTCTGGATTGCATTCCGAACCTCGATCATACTGCCGTAAAGCAAGAGCATTAGACTGCGGACGTACCGCACGTCAGCTCCAGCGACAATTTTCTTGACATTGTCCTGCAGTTGAGCAGTCACATGCGTGTATGCCATGATACACGTAGCACAGTCCCGTCGAACGGTGGTTTCAACTCTCAGGACGGCATCCTCGTCCTCAATATCCACCACTTCAGCTTGTTCCAACGCTTCGTTGAGTCGATCGACGTGCGTTGAGGCATTAAAAAATGTGAACTCTAGCGTACTCCTCCGAACGTCCTTGCCACGTATTGCAGCAATCAAGCCGGAGATGTGAGGGTGGATTTGGTAAAGTGCGTACAAAATACCCTTCGCCCCGTCAATGACGGGACTATTCAACTCATTCTCGACCTTGTGTTCTGGTAAGCTTGACAGTCGTTTCACAAAAGCAAGCCTATTCCGTCTCGGATCTCGGGGGCTATTCGGACTAGATGAACTGGCACCGCCAGGAGATGATAGAGTACCGTTCCGCTTCAGGACGGATCCATGACTGAAACCTCTAAGATGACTGTTTCTGTTGACTTTGAGTTCGTCAATGCTGTCCAAGTCCGGCTTTTCTCTTTCTCTCCTCATCATCCCCATCCTCTTATGACGAGCTGCAGCTGATGCCTGTAAAACACTTTCGCTGTTGCTTCGGTTCCTCTCATTGCTGTTTTGGCTTATCAGAGGTGCAATGCCCGGACGTCGGAGGGCAATTGATTGGGCGCCAGAGGCCATGCGGAAGTGGGACCGCGTAGGTACTGGAGGTGGATTCGGCTGAAGGGGTGACGATTTGTTTCCTTCTGAACCCGGTTCACTGAGGCCGCTGCCAGTGCTTGGAATAACGGGGAATCTGCTGCTCAAAGTTCTTTTCAGAGGCTTTGGCGTCTCCATCGGACTTTCATCGATCTGCAAGGAAGCCTCGACATCTATCGGAGCGAGAGTTGATGAATGCGCCTCTCGCAGATACCTTTTGATCTCGAGTGTGATGGCTGTCTCTCTCTCGTGATCGGTCATCTCTGAAAAGGATACTTCTGATTCTTTGTATTCGACAACCCTTTTTAACCGGAATCGCAGAGGGTTTTCTGCGATCTTCAATATCTGAAGTTTCGTCATTTCGGATAATTCAGTCGGCAGCTCTTCAACTCGATTGTGCACCAATGAAAATACCCGCAGTGAGCGGAGGTTCTTTATATCAGGGGAGATCTTTCGCACTTTGTTGCGACTTATATCCAAGATCTCCAGTTGGTTGAGCTTGTATACTCCCCGAGGTATCTCTCGGAATACATTGGACCGTATATTGAGGTAGCGCAAATGGGTACATTCGGAGAAGCGGAGTGGTATATGCCATATCTGGTTTTGTGAGAGAGATAATCTTTCCACCTCGTCTTTGATAAGATCAACCACACTCTCGGGCAGTCTGGCGATATTGGAGTGTCCCAGGTCCAGGGTTAATTTGGGCTTGACAACGTCCCTAACGGCCTCGCTGCCCGCAAGCGCGTGTTCTGTGTCTTGTCTCGCATCTGCGACTTTCTTCTTGAACAGTTCTGTGGTGTCGTCCAAAGATAACAGGCTGAGCTCGCTCTTTTTGACTTGTCCGATGATGTTTGCCTCCTCTGGTTTCGCCGGGGAGCCGTCCAGGGTTTGACCGGCATCGACACGTTGCGCTTGTGACCTCGTGTCTTCGCTAGAGGCTCGAGGAGGGCGGTCACTGTCGTCAAAGCGGGATGGTCGACCCAGTCGTGAGGCATCCTCCGGACGAAGCAGGACTCGCGGAAGGTTAACTTGCGGTAGTTCGGGCTCCATTATGTTCGACAAGCTGGTGTCTCTGAAGCCTAGGCCAGAGATGCTGTCAATGGCCAGCATCGGGGAAGATGAATCAGGCGGTGGGTGGACCAGCCCATCCACAGCATGCTCCGGTCGATCTCAAATCTGATACAACTGAGGGGAGATTCTGTCTGCATTCAATAACGCACCAGGCGTTGTCACACCATCGTAGAAGTGTTGAAAAGAGGTGAAAGCCTTGCCAGGAAATTGTACAAGAGTCGTATCGTGTGTATCGTGCGAACAGATGATGCCTATGGCTCGTGCTGAGCCGTGACACGGTGTGGTGTTCGTGTTCTAGGGACGATCGGACAAAGGTTCGTCAGGAGGACAGTGCTTTGTTGATTGGACCCCAAGAGGACCGTAGCTTGTGTCGATGGCTCTTGGACGTGGCATAAGTTGTTGTTGATTCTTTCGACAGTGGCCAATGGCATAGACGACAGGGCGTGACGTTGATGACAGAAGGTGTCTTGCTGAGTCTTTGTTGCTGTCTCAGACCAGCGCAGCGCAGTTTGGCGCGGTTCGTCTCAGACAAAAACAGCCCCCAGCCCCGTACACGTGACCTGTTCCTTGCATTGGCGCCCTTTTTACTGATTAGCCTGGAAAGCGACCGTTGAAAGCGACAGGGATCATGGTTTTTTTCTCTATCACTTATCCGTATCGCTATCCGGATCTTGATAATGATCCGCCCTGCCATCACACGTGGTCCTTGACTTCTCGTATTCGTACTACTGGCTACAACCGCGTAACAAAGTCGTGGTCGAAGCATTGTCGTCTCATTCCTACCTGGTACGGAGTTGGGACGGAGTAATAAGGGAGAGATCTCAT